TGTTGCCGGTGATAATTTGGTTGATGCCATCAAGAATAAGAAACACACTGACGGTGAGTGTTGGATTAATTCACTGATAGACCACTATGAAGAGACACTGATGAATACTAAAAAGTGGGAAAGTAAAAGAATGACCAGAGATAAGGTTTTAAAACTGATGAATGTAAGTGAAGAAAAGTTCAGAGAGAATGGGGCATCAGTTGAAGATATGAAACCTGTTTTTGAAGAGTTTAAACTGACAGTCAGATTATACAACTGTATCGGCCAAAAGATTTATACCTATGACCCTGATAAGAAGAACAAAAACATAACCGTTTTGTTTGGATTGATTAAGGGCAACCACATTTACACAATGAATGACAACATCAACAGCATAGCACAAAGGGATTTTGAAAAAGATATGAAACTAAATGCTTCTACTGACTTTCATTTAAATAGCAAAGAGAAGCCTGTTAAGTATGATTTTTTCAATGGCATTGATGACATAATGGGTATAGTTGAAGCTAATGAAGATACTGAAGAAGAAGTGAATTTGGTGAGTGGCAAGAATTTGAATACAATTTTTTGTGAGTTCAAGAGGGCAAAGTATGAGCCTAAAATCATAATGGGAGCAGGTGGCAATGTAGCATCACTCAAGGTAAAGTTTAATGGGTTGATTTTGAACATCAGAAGTCAAACTTTGATAGACTGCGCTGTGGATACTTCTATTGGTAGTAGCGGTGCTGATATGTTTAACAAAGTAAATGAGGCATTTTTCAATTTTAATAAAGGTATGTTCAATCCTAATCACAAGTCATATTATAACAATGATGACTTGAAAATATTTTCAATAGCACATAGCATAGCTCCCAGCGGATATTTTGAAAGCATCATTGAAGGAAAGGATACACACATTGAATTAGATAGGAGGAACGCCTACACTAAATCTACAATGGATGTTTTAGAAGTGCCTTGTTTTTCTGAATTTGATATTTGGAAAAAGTATGATTATTCAAAGAATGATTTTAACAAGATGAATGCTTTAACATTATATCTTGTTAAAAGCAAAGTTAGAAATCTATTTTTCAACAGGACTTATAACTTGATTTACGGTAAGTTTTTGAAAAATATTATGATGATGTTGAAGTCATTTATTACAAAATTCCATCTAATACATACAAAGTTAATTACAAAAAAATAGTTGATGAACTTTGGAAATTGAAACTGGATGAGGATGAGGAGAAAGATAAGTTGAAGAAAACAATGATTGCTTGTATCAACATTGGCTTATTGGAAAAACAAACTAACAATGCTAAAAAGTTCATAGTGTTTTCAAAAATGGTTGATGCCTTTTACTATCAAGAAAAATACGGTGGTGATATAAGTATCATTACTGAAACTAAATGGGATGGTGAAGTGTATGATGATGATGATGAGGATTGCTTGATTGAATTTGATGATAAAGGCAATGTCATTGAGCCTGAAAATGATGAGAAAGAACTTGCTAAAATTGTGGATGAGTGTAAGCATTATGTGCTTAACATATCTGACACAAAAACTTTAATGAATGGATATAAATATGTGAAAGAACTGATTTTACAACATCATAATTTTGATATGAATGAGGCTTATGAAACACTTATGAGGGATAATGTAATGGTGTATTCAGTTAAAACTGATGCCTTTGTGATTGATAAATGTAATCTGGGTAAGGCAAAGGAGGTGTTAAAATTTGGTAGTGAGATTGGAGACTGGCGGTGGTCTGATAAATTCAATTTTCCCAGCAAGGCATTTTGTAAGCAACCCAGTATTCTATGTGATATAACTGAATATGAAAATAAAACGGGTGATGTCAAGGATGAATGGAACACTGATGAAATCATTGATGAGCATATTTTGAATAATAAAAGGTTGCTTATCCAAGCAGAGTTTGCAGGTTCAGGCAAGAGTTATATATGTAAGCATATGAACACCAGAAATTATAAAGTGTTGTTTGTTGTTCATAGCAATGAGTTAGGACAACAATGCGGTTGTGAATGGGCGACCATCAATAAGTTTTTTAGTATTTCTTTTGGAGATGAGAGGCTTACAAAGTTTGATTATTCAGTTTATGATGTCATAGTGTTTGATGAGATATATTTTCATAATGTAGGCAAGTGGGCTTTAATATGGGACTTCTGTAAGAACAACCCTGATAAAATAATAGTGGCAACTGGAGACACTAACCAGTTGAAAAACCCAGAGAGGGTAAGCAATGTAATGTCATTTGAGAAATATGCTAATCATTGTATTAATTTGATTTTTGAAAATAATATTATGCTATATGAATGTAAGAGATTGAAGACTGAAGAAGATAGACACAAATTAAGAGATGTCAAAAGAATGATTTTTGAAGGCACACCTTTTAGAGAAATCATTGATAACTATTTGAAATGGACTGACAAGATAGAAATGTATGATAATAATATTGCTTATACGAATAACACCTGTAAAATGGTGTCAAGCAAAATCAGAGAAATGAAAAATATAACTGAAGAATATGGTATTGGTGAGGAAGTTATATGCCGAAAATATATCAAGACTATGGGCACAAAATTTAATGTTAATTTTAAATTTAGGATTTCAAATATCGTTGGAGATATTGTTGTTTTACAAAATGTGGCAACAAATGAGAAGCAAAACATAAAAATAGAATTGTTGAGAAAACATTTTATATATGCTTACTGCTACACCGCACATTCAAAGCAAGGTTGTAGCGTTGATGGTGATATAGTCATATATGATTGGAATGAATGGTATGTTAGTAAGAATTGGTTTTTTACAGCCCTCACAAGGGCTACAGACTTCAACAAAATTAAGTTTTTCAAATATAATAAAGGTGAAGAAAGTAAATCTAAAAGGATAGTAGAGCAGTATTTTGAGAGAAAGGTTTTAAATTACATTGAGCAAGACAAAAAAGCAGGTAGAGATGTAGAAGGAAATGAGTATGTTGATGTAGATTTTTTGATGAACCTGATGAATACCCAGTGTGAAAATTGTAATGAACCATTGGTGATAGATTTTGAAGATGGCAAGGTTTCATCAAATATTAGCTGTCAAAGGGTTAATTGTTGTGAAGCTCACTTTAAAGATAATTGTAAAGGTTATTGTGTGTCTTGTAATTGCGCTTTTTCAAATAAGATATTAATGTAAAATGGTTTTAAAGAAAAGATAAGTTAAGATAAGTAGGGATATGAGCAAATATCAAAATGGTAAGATTTATAAAATAGTAGATGTAGGATATAATAAAACCTATTATGGTTCTACTTGCGAAAGTTTGAGCCAAAGAATGACAAGACATAGAGCCAAATACACAGCATACTTGAAAGGTAATATTACAAATACACGTTCTTTTGATTTGTTTGATGAATTCGGTATAGAGAATTGTAAAATTGAATTAGTAGAAAACTACCCTTGTAATAGCAAGGAAGAGTTAAGACGGAGGGAGGGCTACTATATCAAAAACAATGACTGTATCAATAAATGTGTGCCGTGTAGAACACCAGCAGAATATTACCAAGATGAAAATGAATATTGTAGGTTCAGAAATGACCTTTACAAAAACTTCGTAAAGAAGAAGAACAGGAATATCATAGAAGACGGTTTCAAGAAAGAAAACACATCTTGCTGGAAAAACATTTGTGTGGTTGTGGCAAATATTACACATTTCAACACAAAAAAAGACACGAGAAATCACAAAAGCACCAAGACTGGTTAAATAAACAAAATGAAGAATACATGATATAATTTTAATATTTATTATATCATCTATTCTATAATGAGTGAAAGTAAGAAACAACAAATTATTCGTGATATTTATTTTGATAAAGCGGGCTATGGTTCAAGAAAGACCACATTAGAAGATGCTAAAAAGAAAGAACCTACAATCAAGAAAGGGGATGTTGAACAATTCTTTAGGAAAAATGTTGAGATAAAAGCAAAGCCAAGAGGGCATAATTCCTTTGTAGCACCTCATAACAATCATACTTATCAAATTGATTTGTTTTTTATGGGGTATTATGATTTTGATGAAGAACAAAAATATAGAGGAGGATTGGTTTGTATTGATGTTTTAAGCAAGTATGCCGTAGTAATTCCAATTGTAAGCAAGAATGAACCTGATGTTATTGAGGCAACTAAAGAGGCATTAAAAAGAATGGGAAAGAAACCAAAAATCATATACAGTGATGATGAAAAAGCAATAGCAGGAGGTGATTTTAAAGACTATATTGAAGGTGAGAATATTGAGTTGTATAGGACAAGGGGTCATCCTGCTTTTGCTGAAAGATTTATACGCACCTACAAAGATATGCTTTTTAAAAGAGTTGAAGCAGATGAAAAGAAAGGAAGAGAACATATCAAATGGACAGACTACAATTTAGAAATAATGCTTACATACAATGATAAAATGAAACACTCCGCTACAGGTATGACACCTAATCAAGCAAGGAAAGAGAAAAATGAATTTAGGGCAATGCTGAATGTAGCATCAAAGGCAAAGAAAGAACGAATATACCCAACATTAGAGGTGGGAGACAAAGTAAAGATAATGAGAAAGAAAGCAATTACAGAGAAAGAAAGAACTTCCCACTGGCTGAAAGGTTATTATGTTGTGCAAGAGATTGCAGAAAAGTTGAACCAAAAATATTACAAATTGACTGATTACCCAAGATTGTTGATGAGGCACGAACTTTTAAAGATTTAGTGTTTTTAGAAAGCCTTAAGCATTTGTTTTTCTTACTTATGCCTATACTTGATGCAACCATGAGATGGTTGATTTGATGTGCTCTTTTGGTTTCGGGGTTTTGTGTTTTGCCCTTCATTTGTTTTTCCCCACGAATTTGTGTTTGGCACGTTTGGGTCATTGGCTGGGATTACTCTATGTTCCTTTGTCCTTCTGCCCCGCCTTGGCTTCGTCATCAATCTCTTCTTCATCCTGTTGTCGGGGCGCTCAGCTGTTGAGAATGTCAGTTGGAGGTTTGACGCCACATGTTCTTGGAGAGCTTGACCTTGGAATTTGTTTCAATTTGAGCACCTTTGACATTCTCAATTGGAAAGCTACAGAAATTAGCTCTTTCAGTTTGCGCTTGGAATTTTGTGTCATTCTTCAGCATCTTTATGTTCTTCCGTAGCGTTTTTGCGAGTTTTTCCTCAAGCCACTCAGGGACGCTTTTTAGCTCAGGGGTGTCGGCATTGCCATGGCGCTCAAATCCGGTGTATCCGCTTGCCTCATCCTTGCATTGTGCGTGAGCTGCGAGAACCTCGGCAAGGAGACTGAGAAAAGCCGAGCGCCTTTCCTCCCCAGGTCCGAGAACCTTGGCAAGGAGACTGAGAAGAGTGGAGGATTCTGGTTCCCTCGGTCCGAGAACCTCGGCAAGGAGACTGAGAAGAGCGGAGTGCCCTTCCTCCCTCGGTCCGAGAACCTTGGCAAGGAGACTGAGAAGAGTGGAGGATTCTGGTTCCCTCGGTCCGAGAACCTCGGCAAGGAGACTGAGAAAAGCCGAGCGCCTTTCCTCCCCAGGTCCGAGAACCTTGGCAAGGAGACTGAGAAGAGTGGAGGATTCTGGTTCCCTCGGTCCGAGAACCTCGGCAAGGAGACTGAGAAGAGCGGAGTGCCCTTCTGGCCTCGGTCCGAGAACCTCGGCAAGGAGACTGAGAAGAGCGGAGTGCCCTTTCCTCCCTCGGTCCGAGAACATTGGCAAGGAGACTGAGAAGAGTGGAGGATTCTGGTTCCCTCGGTCCGAGAACCTCGGCAAGGAGACTGAGAAAAGCGGAGCGCCTTTCCTCCCTCGGTCCGAGAACCCTGGCAAGGAGACTGAGAAGAGTGGAGTGCCCTTCCTCCCTCGGTCCGAGAACCTTGGCAAGGAGACTGAGAAGAGTGGAGGATTCTGGTTCCCATGAGATGGCATGATGATCATTCACGGGCTTGCTTCGCCAACAGGGCGACTTGCAAAACAGTGCTTGCTTCGCCACTAGGGCGACTTGCAAAACACTGCTCTTGGCAGATGCTTTATGATTGACAAGGTCTGTATCAAGGTTTCAGGGTGTCAAATAGGAATAGGACATTGCTTCAATAGAGCATTCATGCCAGTGAGCCTTCGCAAGCTTGACATTCAGTGCATTCATGCCTGATACAAAGACATACCCTTCCAAAAACTTGAGAAGACGGGCACCAACAAGTCTGGGACGCACACCACACAAATCTTTTTCGCTCCATTTCGCCCCAAAAGTTTGGATTGCTGTGCTTCACACCGTGCTGAGGTTAAGAAGACGTGGTCATCAACAAGTTCATGAAGGGCGGTTTGGGCATGGCAATTGCGGATTAAAAGAGATTTGAGATTGAGAAAGATGTGATGCTGTTGTGATATGCTAGTTTGTATGTATGCTGGTATGTATGCTGGTATGTATGCTGGGGGTTGGGATAGTATATTGGCTGGAGGCTGAGGCTTCCCCTATAGGGGGAGACTGTGGTAATTAATCCCATAATCTTCATAATAAATGATTATGAGAATTATGTTGATTATCTCCATAAATTTGAAGTGATGATTATGAAATTCAAACTCAAAATTACAAGAGGCACACCAACACTTTGAAGCATGAGGAGAATTTGAAGAATAATGATAGTTAAAATTCATTTTATAAAAGTGAAATTGTCTTTTGTTTTGGTTTGTTGTTATGGTTTTTGGTATAGTCTATTTTATAATCTAGTGTATTGCTTATGTTGTTTTGTTTTTTTCTTTTTGTTGTTTGTTGTTATGATTTTATTGTTGATTATGTTATTATCTATATAAGGTAAAGCAATCCCATCTTTTTGTTTCGACCGTTTAAAATCTATTGTATTGTAGGGGGTGCGGTCTGTAAAAAGACGGGATTGCCTCATGCTAACTAACTGGACGTAAAAACCAAAAAAGGTCCAGGTCAGTTTGCATTTGCATACAATATATATATATATATATACACAATATCATACAGTTGTAGCCGAGCCCTTAACACTTAGAACTGAGTTATCGAAGGAAGTTTAGAAGTCAAACTTCCGACAATATGGACAGATGAAAAGCAGAGTAGGGAAGAGGCAGAGAGAAGAGAAAGATTAGAAGAAAGAAGAGTAGAAGAGAAAGAGTCAGAAGAAAGAAGATGCAGATGCGTGAAAAGGTAGGAAAGTCACGAAACACTGTGTTTTTCCAATGATTTGAGGCTCCGGAGGGTCGAAAAGTAGGCTCGCTAAAGCGGCGGGTGCGGAGCCAGCTGGCCAGATGAGAGATGAAAAATTGCACGCCGTTGTGGCGCGAAGGACATTTCGAAGTCAAAATGTTAAAAAGCACCAGGGGTTCGGACCACGCCGTTGTGGCGCGAAGCACATTTCCAAGTCAAAATGTACAAAGCACACCATTCTCGGACCACTTTTGGAAGTTGAGATGTCGAAAAAGTGCACGCGGTTGTGGCGCGAAGCACATTTCCAAGTCAAAATGTACAAAACACACCAGGTTCGGACCACGTTTGGAAGTTCAGATGTCGAAAAGTGCACGCCGTTGTGGCGCGAAGCACATTTCCAAGTCAAAATGTACACAACACTACATGTTCGCGCCACTTTTGGAGGTTCGGATGTCGAAAAAGTGCACACCGTTGTGGCGCGAAGGACATTTCGAAGTCAAAATGTTAAAAGCACCAGGGGTTCGGACCACTTTTGGAGGTTCGGATGTCGAAAAAGTGCACGCCGTTGTGGCGCGAAGGACATTTCGAAGTCAAAATGTTAAAAGCACTAGGGGTTCGGACCACTTTTGGAGGTTCAGATGTCGCTTCGCTTCAATACACTACACTACAGGACATTACACTACACTACACTCCAGTACACTACATTACACTACACTACGCTCCGGTACACTTCACTACACTAAATTACACTACACCACACTACATTACACTGAATGACACTGCAACACAGATAGACAGGTAGACAGCTAGACAGATGAAAGGGAGAGATAGATAGATAGGTAGGTAGATAGATAGATAGATAGGTAATTAGATGAAAGAGAGAGATAGATAGATCGATAGATAGATAGATCGATAGATAGATAGATACATAGAAAATAGATAGGTAGGTAGGTAGATAGTCAGAGAAAGAGAAAGAAAGAGTGAGAGAGATCAAGCACCTTTCAGTCCATCAGTGGCTTCGCTCTGCCATCTCTGATTCACAACAAGCAAGCTCTCCTATAGGTTTCCTATTTTTGAAACTTCCGCCACCGCCTTGTGCGGTACTACTGGTAACTCGTAATCTCATTTAAGTGACATGTAGCCTTGCAGGAGTTATTTCATCCCATTTATAACAACTAGTTGGGCTATAGCCCGATGATCCTCCCAGTGCTCGATGAACTGCCGATGATGCTGTGATTTCAAGTCAAGCCGTATTGCTTACCCAAAAAGGTGTCATCAAACGTGGCAAGCTGGGAAATTCCCTAGACATGGAGGTTTTAATGGGAAAATCAACAAGAAAAGGTGGATTGTTCAGTGCCACATTTGATTACTTGAGGGTAAATCCCACTTCGGGGTGTTCTTTTTTCGTTCCTCAAGTTTCCAGTGATTCCAGTGAAACTCAAGTGTAAAGCATCTTAAAATATCTTATAACATGTTATACAAAAGGACAACTTACAAAATAGAGGATACACCATTTTTTGTTTATTATTAATAGTAGCCCTATTTCATAGCCCAGCTTCACATATATCCTGGTTGTATACCCCTTTATTTATATGTATAATTTATATATATATGGTACATATTATATACATACATGGTACATATATAACTATTGATAGCTGATAGCTATCCCACCTTTATCATCCTTAGCTGCGGTTGCCGTAGGCGAGCTGAGCTGCGCTCGCTCTTCCGAGCTGCCGTGGTGGACGTGACGCCCAAGGGAGGCAGTGGCTTCTTGAGAGCCCGGACCACCAGCAAGGCGAGGACGACCAGCAGTGGCGAAACTGAAACCGAAAAGAGGTTGATATATCTAAACTATCATTAGGGGTCATTATGTTATATGGGGGTTAAACTATCAGCAAACTATCAGCAAACTATCATGGGTGTTTAGGTCTAAACTATCATGTTTGACTATCATTGCTAGGGGTGAAATAGCATGTTGGAGCTTTTTGTCATATGGGGATATAAGGATATAGTATGATATAGTTCATGATATTTGACGATTGGTTTCATCGCGGGAGACAATCTGCTTTATGTTGGGAATTGTTTATCATCCGTGAATTGGGAATCCCGTTCTTGACCAATGAGTACTAAATGCAATGACGGAGGGCTTTGAGCTCAAGTGGGCTGTGGTTTGTTTTCGATAAATCACGGTTTTGGGGATCTGCTTACAGTATATCAGTATCTGGTTGGTGGTTTGGAACAGCCTCTGGCCCAAAACCGTACCAGCTCGGGAGGCCGTGCAGGCAAATCTTTGGGTGGTTTGTGGTAGCCATGAAAGGTCTAACAGGACCAGGTGCCGAGGACTTACAGTACTTGTACAACCCTGACTGGACCAGGTTGACTTCAGGGAGCCGAGTTTCTGTGGTCGTTACCGACCTAATCTGGCAAGGTTTGACTTGTGTTGGAAAACTGTGCCCGGGTGAGCAAAGAGTTAGGGTGGTAGGTTGTTTCCCCCCGGAAGCTTGTGGATTCCCTACCCTTGCCCTGTTGGATGCCGTGTTTTTGGACTTCTCTGGCCTTGTGGATTTGTCCGTTGATGAGTCTTCTTGTGTCCTTTGCCATGGTCCGCCCCAGGTCTCACATGTCCAAAGTTACATTGAGGTTTGTTCTGGTGCTGGTTTTTCTGGCCTGGGGTTCAAGCATGCCGGTTTTCACCCAAAATGTGCTGTTGAGTTGCAACCAAAATTGGCAGAGCTTCACCGCAGCATTCACCCAGGGATCCCAGTCATCAATGCAGACATCACGGATGATCGAACGGCAGCCTTGATTCACCAGGTGTGCCCCGAGCCCACTACGCTCATGGCTGGAATAGCCTGCCAGCCTTACAGCCGAGCTGGAAAGCAAGATGGAGGCAGTGATGTTCGAGCAGCCACACTCCCTGCAACACTGAGGTTGGCAAATTTTTTGCAGTCTCCCACCCTGGTGTTAGAATGCGTAGTGGCAGCAAGGTCAAATGAATACGTGCTTGCACACATCCGTGAGTTGGAGTCTCAAATGGGCTTTCATGTTGTGGACTGTTGCATGAAGTTGGAAGAGGTTTGGTCTGGTATGAGGTACCGATGGTGGTTGATTGCCACACACCGCAGACTTGGCCGTGTCCTTGTCCCTTCCTTCCCAAAAGGGTCACCGTTGGTTGTACGGGATCTTATGCCTTACACCAAAAGATGGAGTGATGAAGATGAAGCCCAACTTGCCTTGACCCAACAAGAAATCGAAAGATTCCAACTTGGGGGTGAACCCTTGCGGAAATATGTCGTCCAACCGGACCAAAAGCTGCCAACAGCCTTGCATAGTTGGGGAGGACAGACTCAGGCATGCGCTTGTGAATGCCGGCCACAGGGTTTTGCTGACCTCACCCTGCAATCACGTGGACTTTTTGCTCAGCTGCTTCAGATCCCTGGGTTAAGCAATCAGATCAAGTACCGTCACATGCATGCCTGTGAAGTTGCCATTCATAATGGGGTCCCACCACTTCAACAATGGAGCAGTGATGCCAGACTGAATCTGTGCGCAGTTGGGCAATTGGCCAGTCCGTTTCATGCAACATGGGTAGCAACAGCGATCCTCGCCCATGTTCAAAAGCTTTTTGGACATGACGCCCCATTGGAACCACTCCGGTCACTGAGCAGTTTAAAACATGTGGTTTTGCAGCAGAGCAAGGAACTTTTCCCTGCTATCCCACGTGCTGTGCAGTTGCCAACAGAGGAACCCAGTGCACCACTTGGTTTTGCATCGCCAAGTGGAAAACCTCAGGTTGAAGTCTCTGACAATGTCGGAGCCACAGTGACAATCATGCACCAGCCTGATAGCACAGTTCGACACTTGCTGGAAGCCGAATGTGACTTGATGCATGTGCCTTTGTATGAAGTCCAGGTGTGTACTATGGATGGTGTTGCTTTGCCAGCTGATGCCCGCCTTTGTGAACACAAAGCCATCCTGTTGAAAAAGCATGGATTCGAACCCCCGACATGTGCCCAGCCTGACCCGGAAGTGCCTTTCATGCCTGAAGACATGGTCCCATACCAACCTGAAGATGTGGTTGCCATGAATGCACCTGCAGGTGATGTTGCCACACAAGTTGATTCCGATGTTGACATGTCATGCCATGACCATGTTGCCCCTATGCCCATTGAACATGTCAGTGTGCCCACCACCGTGCCGCCTACTGTTCTCAGTGATGAATCAGTACAGGCACTGCTGCAGTTGTCCACAAGTGGTTTGCTGGCCATGGTACCTCCACTAGCGCCTGATGTCGAGCTGTGTGCCACCCTGAGGTCCCAACGAGTCTCTTGGACTTTCCGAGACCAATTGTTGACCAACCAGGCGCATGTTTGGGCGGATGATGAATTACTGTGGCACATCCAGGCCACTGTGATGTATGCCCAAAAAACTGCAGTTCTCCTTGACCCTTTGCTTGCAACAGCTTGGACTCAACATGGGACCGTGGAATCTGTTCACGCATGGATCAACACAGTCGCAGAACCAACTGACCGGTTTGTTTCAGCCGTCCTGATGAATGGTCACTGGACCCCTGTTGTCTGGGTTTTGAAGTCAGCCTGCCTTGAAGTGCACACATACGACCATGATGATGTGGACTTGAATGGGTTGAATCGGCTTCATGGACTTTTATGCCAAGCCTTTGATGTCCCGTCTTTCACCGTGTCTTGCCTGCGTCGGTCTTTCGGTGTCAACATGTGTGGAGCCGCAGCAGTTGCTTTCCTGATTGCCCAGCTCAACTACTCAGCTTTGCCCCGAAATGATGAGGAACTGAACGAGCTTAGCACTCAACTTCGAGCCCAGTTTCGAGTCTCCCACATGTCTGCAGTCAGTGTCCGTCGGCCGTGGTGTTGGGGAGCTGGAAGTGAGGAGTTGCCTACACTCCTTGCCACGCTCCTGCAGTTTCATGGTGTGCCTCAGACAGTGTCCAAGCAACGTGCCAAACTCGTCATGCAGAGCCTTGGAAAAGACCAAGTCAGAACAGCACTTGAAGGAGTTTCTCCGTGGAAAAGCCTCAAGCAACTTGCCAACCTGCACAAGCCGGTCATTCAGTTGGTCATGCCGGATGAACTTGCCATGGTTGTCCAAGACCGCAAGAAGAAGCCAGCCACCAAAGACAAGCAGTCTCGCCCGAGACAAGTGCCAGCCAAGCCAGTTGACCTTGATCCAAGCAGGTTGCAACTTGAGCCGGATACGTTCTGTACAACACCTGATGTCATGATGATGCAGATCCCACTGACACAAGTTGGACCTCTTGCCACCGGTGTTGCATTGGTGACCCATGCCGAAGCCATGCCTTTCCTACAGGCAAACCAAGTGCTGACAGCTAAGGGACTTGCACTGCTCATTGTCAATGGCCCAGGTGACATCCGCACAGACCTGCAATCCTAAATATACTCTGAAATTCTTAACAAAAGTATCTGTATTGTCATAAATCATGACATAGAGATACTCATAGAAATTTACTTCCGTTGTCTTCCATACTGCAGGAATAGATACATCTGTTATATACATTCTTGTTCCTTCGGGTGTTTCTAAATTTTCATTTAACTCAATGGAGAAGTCAGCACTTGACCTTGATGATGCCAAACGATAAGAACTATCAACAAAAATCTTTTTATATGTTAATCTATTGCTCATCATTGTTAGTATATTATTAATTTAGATTTTTATAATATATTATATAAATGATAGGATTTATTGGTGGAGTAGCAAGAACAGCATTAGCACAAGTAGCAAGACAGTTTGGTAGAGAAGCAATGGAAAGGATTATGGCAGGTGAAGCAATAGAAAATGTATTATCAAGAGACCAAATGAAAGAATTAGCAAAGAAATTAGGTAGAGTAGCATTTAATGAGTTAATGAAACAGGGCAAAGATGCCATAATGGAAGATTACAATAAAAAGAACGCAGACTGGAACGCAAGAATGAACGACTTTACAAGAAATTTAGATGATGAATTCAGAAAGAATACAACCTTATATAAAGAAGTAAGAAACATCCAAAACAAAAACAAGATTGAAGATAGGAGAGGATTATGGAATGCTTATGACAGTCCTGATGGGTTATATAAAACTGGTTCTACATTATATATTGCTGGGACTGGTGGCAAGGATGGTTCATTGACAAGAGATATTATGGATGACTTATTATTAGTCCCAACCAGAAACATAAAAGCAAGTGAAAAATACCAAGATGTAGTGAAGTATTTGAAAGAAAACACTGATGTTAAGCGTCTTGTATCACACAGTTTAGCATCAGCAGTAGTCAATCAAAAATAAACAATGATATGCCTGAAAGATTTGCTACTACAACTTATGCCACACCAACCATAAAACCAAGAAGAAAAGGAAAACAAGACCCAAAGAGACTTGACCTGCGTAATCCTAATGATGTAGTGAGTTTGTTAGATGGATACGCTGAAACAAGCGACTGGAAGGAATTAAACCCCTTATTAGCACATTCCTACATCAATTTTTCTCATCAAGGCAAATGGCATTTACACCCTACAACAAAAATTAGCAATGGCATCAATCCAAATCATCCAATAAACATATAAACTATATTAATAATGTTAAAAAGAATAGATTATAAACATCAACAAAAACCAATACAACTATCAAAAGGACAATCAACCTATAAGAAATTGGAGAAGGAGATGAATAAACCACCCAGTGATTATAATGCTATAAAAAGTTTAGTAGAAAATAATGAAAATAATATAGAAAAAATAAGCAATAATATTCAACCAAAAAATGTTAAGTTAATTCCACATCAAAAGAAAAAATAAAATAACATTTAAAAAATATATAATATCTAAATTTAAATATATAAGTAATGGATAATATCACAAGTGAAGCAAACGATGTAATGATAAACCAGTTGAACTTCGGCATCCCAGAAACGGCACAGTATATCACAGACCGCCGGTTTGTAAATTATTTTCCATCAGGGTCTAACATCTATGCCAGTAATCAAGGAAACAAGAACATAAGATTTTACATAAGCGGAGAAGCAAACCAATATTTAGATTTAAGCAGTGTGCGGTTATTCGCCACTGTTCAGAATACTGATAATACAAGAGAAAAGTTTTTAAGACCATTAGGTGGTCTTCACTCATTCTTTAACCGATACAGAGCGACGGTAGGAGGTCAAATGGTTCAGGACATTATTGAATACAACCGTCATTGTGAATTATTCAAGTCATTTAAGTCAAAAGATGTTAATGAAATGGATGATATTGAAAGCAGTGCTAATCCATCTTATGATGATGACTACCACTTGTATGCCAATGGTTTAAATAACTTTATTGATTATACAACATCAGGAGCAACTAATGCTGGTGGTGTAGCAACTGTTGATACAACCGCAGACCACAATGAATATGGGAGAATTGATTTTAGACCTACTCGGCATAGTTTGTCAGGTATTCCCGGTGCTAATGGAAAAGCCCGACTTTCTCATAAGCCTTGTTGTGGATTATTAGAAAGCAATTACTACTTACCATTGAGAGTTGCCCCATTGGAATTAGAATTTACAATTGTATCGGATGGTAATGAACCTATTGTAGTCCCCCAAGGAGACGCCCAAACAAACCCCAATACAGAAACTGACAAGCAAGGTTATTACTTTCAATCTGGTAATACATCGGTAAGTTGGGAAATCAATAATGTAATCATTAGAGCAGAAGTAATCACACTTGACAACACCGTTGATAATAACATTACAAAACACTTATTGGAAGGACAATCATTAAAACTTATCATCCCACAATACCACACCATCACACAAACCTTTAACACCGGTGGAGGTGAAATTAATATGAATATTGTTAAGTCGGCATCTAAACTAACTAATGCTTTCATCACACTTTATAGAAGTCCAAGAGGTGGAAGTAGATATGGATATTATATGCCTGATAATTATATTTATAAGAGATGGAACTATTTTTACAATCCTATGATTAATGGAGAGATTAATGACGGTCCTTTAGCAGATACATTGCCATTACAACAAGGAAAAGGGTTTGCTGACAACAGTAGGGCACTTACTTACCAACTTCAAATCTCTAATAAGAAATTTCCTGAGTTTGAAGTTCAATCACTTTCAGAAGCATTCTATTTTTTGAGGCGGACATTACACTACTTAAATCCTGAACAAAACTCACTGAATATCAGTTATAAGCAGTATCGCGAGAATAAATTTGTTATTGGGTTTTCAATGGAGAAGATGTCAGATTTAGCCTTTAGTGGCGTTAATACTAAAATGGGAAGTTTAATCACTTTTAAAATCAAAGGAACCGAAGGAACACTGGCAGAAACAGAACAGATTGAAGAAATATTCACTACATTGGTGTCTGAAACAGTTTTGGAAATCCGCTCTGATGGAAGCGTCGTGTATGATTAAAATATTAATTTCTAATATTAATATATAAATGTTTCAGGCATATAAGCGAAAACAAACTACAACAAATTATAGAAAGAAAATGAATGCCCCAGCAGGTAAGGCAACCGGTAGTGGTATGTTTAAACACTATGACACAAGGTATATGGCGTGGTTAAAGAAGCAATTAGATGAAAAAGAGACAAGAGATAAATTAATATCAATAAGAAATGATATAGTTGAAGCAAATAAGAGAGTAAATTATAGAAATCAAATAGACAGAATTAATAATGAAATACAAAGAGACAATCTTAACCATAATAGTTTAGAACATTTACAGCATCAAATAAATCAATTTAGAAATCTGAATTTTACATAGATAATATAAAATTATTTCTACATAATTTTATATTATAATGGCAACAGCAGTGATAGAGAATGTAAATAACATGTCCAAATATGGATTACGCAGAAAACCAACTTATGAAGAAATCACCAATTTAATATCAGAAAATGAAAAACTGACTGGCACTTTACCAAACAGAGACGCTACATTTTTCAGAAATTCACCAGAGGGCAGTATATTTGATGGCGCGGATGCTATGGAACAACTGAAAGAAGAACAAGGCAGATTATTATTGAGGCAAATGTCAGACATATTGTTAAGGCAAAATGTAAGAACAGCAGGTAGAACATATCACACTGAAAGACTACAACAACTACCCACAACATCGCCGGTAATAGCACAACCAACACAACCTATGAATGTAGATGAAGAACTAACAACGCAAACAACCCCAACAGTGCCATCATCTTCAACACAACAAGCATCTCAATTGAATGCTGAACTGACACAAAGAGCAAACACAACAATGAAAAGAAGAGAAGAAACAGCAATGAACCACAGAGGAGAAGTCTTCAAACAGAGCAAACCGACAATACCTGAACAGATACACCACATCAACCCACCAAGAAGCTTTGCTCCTATAAAACCTGAAAGTTTCAACATAGCAACTGATGATGAAGTTATGCCTCAAGCCCAGGCAAAACCACGAAGTGCTGGGGGTTCAAAAGAACCCCTACCACAAACCAAGCCTAAAGCAAAGGCATCAGCATCTTCAAGCAGTTCTCAAGCACTACCCGTTGCAGAGGTTATGGATGTAAGTAGTTCATCTAAAAGAGCATCTCCTGAAACAACAATAGAACCAAGAGGCAAAGCGGGAAAACCCAAAAGTTTTAAAGCAGGAACTGAAAGAATGAATGCTGAAAAAAGAGATGGAAGCAGTCCAGAAGAAGAGCCTAAAATGAGAAAGAAGCGCAACAAAAAGAAAACAGAGTTAGAAATAGGAGGAGCGGAGGCAGATGATGAAATTGATGAACCTAAAGATAGTGGCAAGAGAAAGACAATACAAAAACCGGTAGGGGCATCCACAATAGGGGTTCAGAGGTTAAGAGAAGAATTTGTAAATGCTAAAAACAAAGTTATGATTACAAAGGAACAATATGAACAGTTTGATAGTGCTTATAAGACTTGGTTTGCTTCAAAAGGTAATGACGCAAAGAAAAAGCAGATGCTGAAACAAATGAGGGAGGTTTATAAACTACATTTGTGGCAAAAATTGAAGGATATGTATAAAGCACAATAATTTGTCTTAATTTACTTAAAGAGATATTCTTATATAAATCATAGTAATGAGTGTCAAAAACAGAGAAATTGATGAAAACGGCTATGTAATCATTGCGCCATTAATACAGGTGGATATTGACAAAAAAGCGGACTTGAAAAAATACAACAGGTATTACCACAGGGAATACTATAAGAAATTTTTGAGTGTCAAAGTTGAATGTCCCCTTTGTGGATGTAGCATTACAAAAGAAAAGTTCAAGAGACACCAGCAATCCAGCAAGTGTATCAGAATGAGAGCAAGTTATAATACTGAAGATAGTAATGATAAATCAGAATAAATAAGGTAAACACATAAAATGTCTTAAACTACTTAAAGAGATGT